CCTCCGCGGGCGCGGCAGTAAGTGACCGGGGGGGCGCGGGGCTGGTGCCGGCCCTGCCCTGCCCTGCCGCGCGCGGGCGGGGTGGGGAGGCCCTCGAGCAAGCGTCGTTCCGCCTCCCTCCCGCCTGGCCGCGGAACCGGCGTGTCCCCGCGCGGGGTTTCTGCGGGGCTTGGGGAGCCCAGGGGTGGCACAGCCCGGCGTTTGGCTGCCGGGAAGGAGCAGAGCGCGGTTTCCTCCTGTCCTAGCGAACAAGCTGCCGACAGCACCAGGAGAGCCAGTCGAGGGGCACATGAAATGTGGGGGGTGACTCGCTTTTCTGGACAGAAAGTGCCGTCTGTTGCTAGCCTGGTTGCTGTATGATAGTGGAATTGTATGTGGCATCTCTCCATTCATGTGCTTTGTGTATTGGAGGCCGTGACTAATGTATGTTTGTTGCTATTAGATGTGTTGAATTGTGCCAAGGAAGCGCTGTATTGGTGGGGGTGCGGGGAGGGGGCTCTGGGTGTTCTCCTCCTTGAGCTGACTCATCACTTTTGCAGACTGCCTGCCTTTCCTAAATGACACTGGAGTAAACCACCAGCCCACAGTCTTCCGTTGTGGAAAGGCTGGGAAGAAGCAAGCAATGAAGGTGATGCTTCTCGTAGCGTAGTAGTTGCATCGCTAGGTCATGCATGGCCTTTGATTCGGTGTTCCTCCAGGGCATTTTATGAGGTTTAACAGGATTGACTCATCAGCTGTTTAAAAGGTTGGGTTGTGCAATGCTATATAGATGCAGTCAAGACAGTCGTGCAGGACACTTGAGATGACTGGAACTTGCATGAAGGTGCGGTTTGTTGTTCGTATAATTCACCTGCAGTCCATCAGTTGTGGTTAAAGCAGAAAGATGGAGTGCATGACAGGAGGTATGCTAGGAATAAGTATTGAGCATGGATTTGTAAGGAACCAGGTGGTATGCATTATGGATTACGTACCGGGTTTATCGTATTTATTGTCGGGTCTCACCTATTTTGAATAAGGGTAGAGCCTAGATTATTGGAATCCTTAAAACGACATATTTTCTTGGATATATCTGTACCTTTCCCCTGAAACCAGCTGGGGAAAATTGGTATTCATGTTATGTGTGAAGAAAAAGACTTCTCACTGGTTTGGGAGGGAGGGTGGAGCATCAGTAGTGTTAATTACTATGGCTCTGGGAACCAAGGCAGTTAATGCCGCCACCACTCCCTGCTTACGCCCCCTCGCCAAATTTCTGGACCCACGAGGAGTCTCCCTCCCAGTCACTTACTGGATTGGGACTGTGCGCAGGGTTGATCTATAGCTGGATTCAGCATCTGACCCAGCATGTGGCATGGGTTGGTTCCAGAGCCAGTGAACAGTCCAAAACTGGGACCATGTGTAGCCCTGGAGGCAGTGTGCAGAGTTGAACCATGTACACAGCCCTGGAGCCTGCACACTGGATCAGGCCCCACCAGGCAGTATAGCCCCAGCACTGGTATGCCAGATTGGGGCCCTGCCACAGTGTGCTGGGTTGGGACCCAGCCCCAGAGACCCCAGACTCCTGGTACTTACCCAAACTGCAGGGTAAGATTTTATTTTTCCTCCACTTCTTGGGGCCTCCCAAAAGTATTTGGGGGCATATTATAAGCAAGAAAATATAGTAAGTAGGAGACAGCACCCAGCAGAAGAGGTTATGCAGGGTGTTGAGAGGGTGTTTAACTTGTTGCAGAATGGCTTTCCAGACAGCTGTGATGAGTTGACACCCAGGTTTTCAGAAGTTTATTTTCTTTACTTCCACACAGGAAGTGCCCAGTTGTCTACAAGGCTGGCCAACATGAGAGACTGATTCTCAACAGTTGGATTTGCATCTCCCTGCTCCCAAAGCCTGCTGAAGCCCACACCAGGTCCAACTGAAGCAGGAGGAGGAAGGTGTACAGCCTGATCAGGTACAGAGTGCCTTGGGGAAGGGAAAATTGTCTAGTTTTCAGATGCTGAGAACCTTCAGTGCCTGTCTGAATCCTGCAACCACTTCTATGCATATAAATTTTTGTATGGAATTGATGCTGTCCATATACTTAAATATAAAGCTATGAAGTATTCTGGTGTGTAGATGTCTAGTTTTTGAAGAAGTATCTTATTAAATCCACAATGAGGTTTTTTTCCCCCCCATTCCATATGGTGGGGGAAAAAACCCCTTGTATTCGAGTACAAGGGGGAGATGGGGGCAGGCAGCTGCTACGGCTCCAACTTCAGCCCTGAGCTCGGGTAAGAGCATGGGCGACTGGTGCCTCCTGATCCTCTGGGGGGGGCACAAGTGGCCAAAAGCTTTTGAGGTGCCACAAAACGCGCGTGCACGTTTGTTTGGATGCACCCTATATGTGGCAAATTATAACAAATGTATACTTTTTTCCATATGTAGAATCTAATAATTGGGGTGGGGGAGGATCATCTGTGGATTTGGCTAAAAATGGTATTTGCTCTGTGTGTGTGTGTGTATCTATCGATATCAATATATATAGATATATTTTTTTTAGAAGGGATCGCATACCTAATAATATTTTCTGTCTCGTGTATTTTTTTCCTGTGGTTTTCCAAGTATGTTTTAAACACTTTGTCTACTTTTTCATTTATTTATTGACTGGTTTGTTGTGAATATTCATGTTCCATCTGTCAAAGACCTTATGTTTTCAGTTTAATTTACTATTAAATCTGACTATTATACTCATGTGTATAGGGACAGAAAGGCAAACTTCTTTCTAGTATGCATTGAGGAGACTCACTGGAAAGAAATGGAGAAAGCTTGATTAATTTAATTGGTGAATTATGATCCAGCATTCATTTGATTCAATGACTAGTTTCCTGCCTTTAAAGGGAAGAAATAATTGCTAATTCTCTTAGAAAGTTTTCTCCTGTGGAGGGCCTTTGTTATGGAATCTGAAGGAAGCTAGTAGCTCTTTGTAAAATAGGTGCATAGTAGGATGAAGGGGATTACTGAAGCATTACTAGAAAATGTATGTCTATACTTAAGGCCTTGTGTACTCAGCAGACAAGCTGACCTAAATTCTGCAGCAGTGGACCCTAGTTTCTACACCAGTATAATGCACCAAACTGAAAATTCTGTAGCAGATTTAGGTTAAAAAAATAGAGATCCATGTTGAAAGATATTTAGTAATGCAGCTTATGTATTGATTTTTTTCATATAAAATTTCAGTTGATTTTACTCTGCCCTTACATTTTCCATGTTTAAGATATACAAGTTATTGTATAGATGAAGGGATTCTGCATTATGGAACCTGTCACTGGAAAAGCATGAAGCTTTTGATGCTAGATGAGAAATACTTACCTCTTCTTACACCTGAGTAAATTTGGGATTATTTTATTAACATGTTTTGTTTGTTAATTATTGCACTGGTCAAATTTTTTTAACAGTGTTGATACTTAGTTCTTACATCCAAAACCCACATTTTAATAGCCTGTTGAGATAAGTGGATTTGGGAAGACTGTATGCAATGAGAAATGTGATGAAAGAATCCAGATACTCAGTTGGTTTATACTGTTTCATAGTTGTGCCTGGTCTATACAGATTTTTTTGTACTGGTTTATCTGTTTCAAGTGCGGGTGTGATTTCTTATCAGCATGGTTACACTGACACAACAAAGCGTGGTTGCAGTTATACTAGTACTGATTTTTTTCTTTTTTACATATTGAAATAAACTACTGATTCAAACCCTTATTCTGGAGATACCTTTAATACTTAAAATAGCATTATTTTGCTGGTATTTGCTTAAACCAGTGAACTGAACATAATAAGCTGTACTGGCAAAAGGACTACAAAACAGCACTTAAAGTAAATGTTTGCTGGTATGCCTATGTCATTTGGTTGGTAGGGAAAAATCATACCTCCACTGGTATAGTTCTGCCAGCAATGCTTTTTAAGTATAGACCTAGCCTTATGCTGATACAAATGATCTGAGGGGGACAGGAAGGGAGGGAATGGATATTACTGGTATAACTATATTAATATAGCAGTGATATAAAATTGTAAAAAGTGGATATATAGATGAGACAGCGGGAGGTTTTTCCTGTCAGCATACAGGCTAGAAGTGCGTATTTCTTTAAAAAGAGCTTCTGTGGCTGCAGCATTGTGCAACTCCAGTGGAAATAGTAATATATTCAAACTTAGGCATATTTTAGTTGATACCACCTTTTAGTGATGGGCTCTTTTAATACGGCTTAAAAAAAAAAAAGGAGCGACCCAGACAAATCCATATGAGTCATTTGTTTTTATTTCTTATTTTCCCCATTGTTCCTATTGTGACTTCATTGAAGCTAGTGTGCAAGTAGTTCCTTGTTTTTTTGGGTTTTTCATGGCATTTTATAGTACAGAATGTTATTGCTCCTGCCAGGGAGAAAAATAAAACCTAATACATAGATCTGCTGGTGCATCTGCTATTTCCACCAGTCAGGCCTAAAAGCTTATTGATAACCAACTTGAAGTAACTGGTATTCTGAGTCAGCCTCATGTAATCTGTTCATGTAATACCAGTTTTAATATTGATGGGCTATTTTATTTCATGTGCGTGAGCCATGTGAGTTTATGGCTGCATGGAAGAGTGGAAAAAAAAAGTGACTGTCATTTGTGTCGGGGTGTTTTGCTTGGAAAAAAAACAAAACAAAAAACTACTGTCCTTGGTGATGTTGATGCCAGCTGTCAATGAGAGGGAGAGGTAGAAGTGTTAAAGATACATGGACTTAAAAGTAAAGTCTCCCCTAATCCCTGGAAAAACATGTAGTATATCCTGAATAGATTGCAAATGGCATTTTTTTTTTTTAGACTCTTCAGGCACTGGTGGACTTTTCATGTTGAAACAGGACTGTGATCTAAGTTCAAGTTGCTTTGAAACTGACTTTGCTTTTATCTGATGTAAAAGATCCACACAATTTTGTAAAATAGCTACCTCTGGTGTAAAATCCTAGTGAAAACTTTACACTGAGTTGTAGCTATATCAATGTAAAAGTGCCATTTTTAAAATAAATACATAACTACTTTGGGACTTTTCATTTTGAAACAGGACTGTGATCTAAGTTCAAGTTGCTTTGAAACTGACTTTGCTTTTATCTGATGTAAAAGATCCACACAATTTTGTAAAATAGCTACCTCTGGTGTAAAATCCTAGTGAAAACTTTACACTGAGTTGTAGCTATATCAATGTAAAAGTGCCATTTTTAAAATAAATACATAACTACTTTCTGTCATGATAAAATATAACAACATTTGTTAAATGGAGTTTATTTGTGTTCCTGTTGTTAATCAGAGTTGAACTGTGGCTACTAGGGGTGCACTGATAGAGACTTTTTTGGGCCGATACCAGCGGCCAGTTTTTAATGAGCCATATTGGCCGATATCGATCTGATTGCCGATATGCAGCCGGGCAGATTAGAGAGCAGCCTCCGGCTGGTAAGTCTGTTGTGGGGGAAGGGTCAGGGGTAGGGAAGGGGTGTGGGGAGGGGGCAGATCGAGTCCCCCCACGGTGAGGGAGGAAGTGGGGCTGGGGCAGGGCAGAAGCAGGCGCTGCACAGCTGGGGTGGGACGGAGGACTGAGCTGTGAGCAGCTCGTCTGGGCGGCATGGGGAGAGGTGGGTGGCTCCTGCCACTGCATTTACCCCTGGAGGGCATGGGGGACATGTGCCCCTGGACCTGTGCTCAGGGCAGGCGAGGGTGGACTGCTGCTGTGGGCTGGGTCTGGGGTGGTTCCAGGTCAGGCTATGCTCTGGGTGGGCAACGGTGGTGCTGAGAGAAGGGCTATGGGGGGGGCACCCCAAAATTAGCTGTAGCCCCCCTCCCAGCACTGCTGCCACCTGCCCTAAGTGTAGCCCTGTCCCAACCCCACCTCTAGGAAGAGCTTGGCACTGCTGCAGCAGCCCACTCTCGCCCTGTGTGCAGCTCTGGGGGCACCCCCTACCCCCCATGCCCTCCCAGGGTGTATGCAGCAGTGGGAGCTCTACGCCCTGGACAAGCTGCATGCAGCTCTGTCCCACGCTCTGCTCTGGCTGTGCTGCCTCTGTCCCACTCCCTCCCTCAATGTGGGAGCCTCAGTCTGCCCCGCCACACCCCCCCCACACCCCTTCCCTCACAACAGACTTACCAGCCAGACCCAGTTGCTCTCCGTGCTGCTGGGCTCCGATTCTGACTGCCTGTGTGCTGCGCTGCGGCTGCGCGCATGCACGGGGCATTTATTGATGACATTATCAGCCACATCAGCCAAAAAAAGCTGATTGTTGATAGTGTCAATATTCCTTATATCGGTGCTGATCCGATATGGCAGTGGTTCCCAACTTTTTTTTTTCCTGCGGACTGGCACAAGAGTGGGATGGGGTGCACGGAGCCAGCTGCCTCCCTCCTGGAGGCTGCCTTGCTCCCCAGCTTTAACCCCACACGTCCCAGAAGCTGCTGACCTGGGCGGACAGATGGGGGTCCGAGCAAGGGGCTTGTGCCGCAACGCAGCAGCCAAACCTTTACGGCCTGGTGCAGGCCATGGCCCGGTGGTTGGGAATCTCTGCGATATGGGACCGATGTATTGGTGCACCTCTAGTGGCTACTTGTCTTTTTTTTTTTTCCTTTTTGATGCCTCTTTGGATAATTGAAAATTCATAAGTATTTTCATGACAAAGTTGACAGATCCCATGCTTAAGAAGGTATATATAACCTTCACCATTTTCTCTGGACTTGCCTGTCATATCTGCCTAATTAGTCTTATCTGAGCTGAGCTTCATCCAGGCAGCTACTTCTTTATGTCTAGATTTGGGCCAGCCACTGGGAAATGATATTGACTACAGCATGAGATGAGACGGGAACATAACTGTCATCAGCAAACTGATGGTGTCATGTCAGCATGTGCTATGAATCAAAATGTGTCAGTTCTCTATCTTTACTTGCATACAACAC